TTTACGTCATGCTTTCTTTCTTAGGAAAAAATGGGCGCTGGCAAGTTATGCACCAAATTTCCGCTTGCGGCAGCCCTGACTGTTTAAAAACGGTTATTAAAAAGTAACATTTGGAGTCTATTGGTTAATCGTGCCAAGGCCTCTGATTGGATGTCTTGCGAGGTGGCCTAACTGCACGCATTATTTGCCCAGCTATCGTTCGGTAACATAAGGCTGCGTAAATATATACCTTGAGAGGTGCGCAGTAAGGGCAAAAAGCCAACCAAGGTTGGTCAAGGGGGGGAATGTGAAACGCGCTGACAGGCCTTGCAATGCTTTTTATCATCCTACTCGTACAGTAGTTTCGAGGGTTGCTGTGCCCGACAGCCGATGTCATGAACGAAAAGGTCACAACGTCACTCTTAACGCAATTACTGCGAGAATACCTTGGGCTGTTACAAAAATGCATCCCAATTGAGCCTCACAGATGCAATCTACGTACGGCGAGCCTCCAACAGAAAGCGTGAATTAGTACTGACGTTTACATAAAAATCAACAATGCCAAGGTCTTTATAAAAGGAGCACCGGAAAAAATAAAGATACTCAAGTTGCTGGATGCTTTTTACCATGTCATTTTTTCAGAGCAGACTGAAGCGTTAACTGCAAGACATTCACCCATATGAGTAAATAAGGACTTTGGAAAATACCTTCAAGCGGATATGCGTACCGATTAATTTAGAAGCGATAAGGGAATACACGGAGAAGAAGGATACACAAAACATAGAATTTTTCTATAAAATCAAATAACAGATGTTGCCAGCGAAAGCCTTAAGGTTCTACCAGAATGAAGTCCCACGACCAACGCCTATGATGAATATACTTGGGAGGCAAAGTACTTAGTTCGTTTGATACAAAAGTGGAAGACTTGGCGGTCTCAGTGGGCTCCACACCAACGAAAGCGAGGAAGAGGTTTGAATACAGCCAAAACTATTACCAACTGAGCTACGAGGCCCCACCGACGGCGATGACTTTGGTCATATGTAGAGTAAAGTTACCAACCCAGCCTAGAACCAATACCGCAGTAAGCCAAAAGTTAACCTGAAAGCAGCAAATGGCACCATGTAACATAAGAGCCCAGCCTGGTGGATAGGGTTGAGGGGGTGGAAACCAAGGCAAGCCCTGATCTGCTCCGGACCTCAAACATGTATTTACTCGGAATGGCATAACCCCAGATTCACACTCCCTGTTGAGATCAAGGGGGTATGAGCCTCAACGTTGATTTTTTAAATCAGCGTCACTTCTGAATAATATTTGCGTGTTGTAGTGTTGTAGCACCCACACAGAGCCTACTGTCACTTAAGACTGAGTTAGGCGGGGTTTCTGGCCTGCATTGGAGAAAGCGGCCAAACGTCTGATCCCGGGTGAAGGTTGAGAGTGCGCATGGCGCCTGCCACGTCTACTATCACTTCAATCTACCCCCTGATCTCCAGGTCCCGTCCTCGCATCAACCTGTTTGGGCTTCATCGAAATGGATGGTCAAACAACACTACCAATTGTGACAGGGTAGTCTGCCTAAGTAAACAGACCTCGTAAGTAATCAATGTAGCATTCATTTGTTGACTATCAGATTCATTTAATCAATTGGCGTTTTGGTAGATTTGTATAATTCATTTGACCCAATAGAGAGGGATACAGCGAGTAGTTTAATGCTTCAAGGAAATCAAACATATAGGAATTATTTGGCGCCAGATGGCATCTGGGAAATTAACTTCCGTATGACACGCTAACTTGCGTATTTTCCCCATAGACCACAAGAAGAAGCAGAAACCTCGAAATGACGGGCCAGTCTGCCAGCAATTATCTCCAAAGGCAAGGACTACATGATGTGAATATGCTTACACTAGGTGATTGTGACTTTCACCAAACCCAAAAAGCAGTCCTACAGCTACCACGATGCACAGAAAAACCGCTATTATCCTCCCTTTTTTGTTGCGCAGACGCGTGCAAAAGGAAAATAAAAACACCAATCACTTCACCTGCCTGCCTGAAGCAATCACACACCCATTAAGCTGTAAATAAAAGGACAAAAAAGGAGCAGGTGGCACCTAGATGCGCCATTGACAAAAAAGTGGGAGGCTGAAATTACTATTTCTGAGTTACTTGTGTGCGCTTGTCGGATGCGCTTGAACCCGGTAAACAAGCGACAAATGCTCATCACGATCCTCCCGGCATTGGTTCGCCCAAACCAACTAACGCGACTTCTACGTGCAAGGAGGCGTTAGGTCCACTTCCACCGAAACCCATTAAAGCTCTACAAACTCACTAGGTCATTCAAAAATCAGCAAGATTGCAGTATTACCAAGCCACTCTAACTATTTTCAGCCTGGTGTTCCTTATTTATTCTGAGTAGCTCGGGTTGCCACGCTTGATTGCGTGTTACAGCCGTTGGGGTGGGCGCGAAGATGACATCCGCCAGACTCCTCATTAGACAGCAGTAAGTGGAGTGTATTCAGGTGTACTTTCGGTGGTGAATCGATTGCGCTTTAGGCCCGCAGGTATTTCTTAATTCGAGGGGTACATACTATCCCTATGCTTTGGCTTTTCACTTGCACTTGTGAGAGAAAAGACGAGCTAGTAGTTGTACTTTAATAAATTCCTTGGGTTTTGCAGTTCGCCAAAAAAGTAATGGGGCAATTTTGAGGATGATACTTAGGATTGCTAGGTCGATATCAGAAGCACATTCGTTCCGGGCTAGGCTACAAAATTATTCATAAGTGCCTCCTCAATTTCTAAAATTCTCTTACGGTGACTTGGTCTTTAACATTATGTACTCGTTCTTCTTCCAGCAACAGTATCTGCGTAAGACTACTAGTCTGAGAAATGAGACCCACCGGCGACATAAGCATTACCATTAGGCGAAGACTTCAGCCTCCTAATAATACTTCAGCTTATGGTAAGAGTCCGAGTGAGGAAGTAGGGCTATGTGTAACGGAGGCGGGATCCCCCATGCGCTTA